ATTGACACCACCTTGCTTCTCCTCAATTCTCAAAGATGGTCTCCATCTCTTTGGATTCAATATGATACATCATATCTCGACCTACTTCATTAACTAACCAAAAATTATTCTACGAGCATAAATTATAAATTAGAGTTTCGATAACTTATCTAACAAGTTGGAGTCATTGAAAAGTTCCCGTGGTGGCTAGAGCATGAATATGTGGTTGCTAACAATGTTGGAGTGATCTGTTGGTAATACTACATATCGGCAGTGGGGGACCAACTAGCTAAAACAAATTTGCATATGAATAAGATAATTATCTAATTTTTTTTTATATTCTAAAATGAATCAATTATGTTTCAATATTCTAAATGAGTTTTTCATCTATCATTTTGGTGAATTTTCTAACCAAACCATAAAATATCACATGACTTTTACATAACTTTTTTTTTTGTTAAAAAAAAAAACACCTTTAAAAAATGTGACTTGCACATATTCAATCGAGCACTTTCAAAAAAAAAAATCATCATGTGCAATTCACATGACATTTTTCAATAAATTTAGTCAGAAAAAAAATCATCAAAATGATATACATTATAAATTTATTTAAAATAAAAAATAATTAATTTAATTTAAATATAAAGACATATTAATCACTTATTTTATTATAGACCGACAAGGCCATTACCATAATTATCACGTAAACATTATCATAATCTTTCTTTAATTACAATTTTCAACTTATAAATTGATAACAACAAAAACCTAGAATATATGCAAATATTCAAAGAAAAATTGTAACATATATTTATCTTTAAACCATAATAAATGGTCATACACTGGGATGAGAATAAACAGATACAAACTAGTATTGGATTTATTTTGATCATAGAACACGGTATCTTTTATGCTATTACATACCATATTAAATAAATAATAAAAAAGACTAGTGATTATGTAATGATTACATTTCTTTCCCATCAAAACATGCAATTGAGTGTACACCTATTGCATCATTAATATCAACTATGATACATAACACCGATAAGAAAGGGAGTGTCCTTCACATAGCCAAAGACAACCAATAATCATGTGAATATACAATAGCATAAAATTACCAATTAAAATTCATGAGGGATTTTGAGAAACGTATGGAAATCTGATTTATGACCAACTAATAACTAGCAATTTTTTTTTAAAAAAAAAAAACATTAACACATTGTCGGCCATAAACCTAAAGATAGAATATCTTCATCATACTAATTGATTTCACTACTTGATTTGTGGTCACTCGTATAAATATTATTAATTTATTAACAAAAAAAATAAATCACATTAAAATATATTTCTCGCATCATAATAGGTTAAAGAAATCAAATGGCTAAAAAAAAGAGAGAGAGAAACTTACACTTTTTTTAGAGAAAGAAGTTGTCCACAATTGGTGAGAAGATGAAGTGGCCAATCACCCATTTTCTATCTGTTGGGAATGGAGGAAAATGGTGGCAGCTATGCTTAAGAGTGGAGGAGAGGAAAATGTAGGAAGAAGAAGAGCCCGCAACTTTTAGGGATTTTTCTTGACGACAAAGGTGATTCCGTCACTAAGAATAAGTGTCTATCGTTGTTCAATTTTTAAAATAGTATCTTTTTTTTTTAATCAACGACGGACACAATTCCGTTGCTAATAATAAATGTTCGTTACTCGTTTGAATTTTGAAATTATAATAATTTTCTCAAAAAGTCGATGTCTAACTTGTCCGTTGCTACTTACCATTTTTCATCGCTTTTTTTTTTTTTTTTGTTAAATCATCTCCCATAAATTAGCAACTCGACACAATAATTCATCACTACTATCTGTCACAAATCAGTTGGTATTTTGTTGTTGATTTAACTATAAAAAATTAATGCTAAATCCAACAAAAGATGTATTCCATCGTTGATATTCTGTCAATAATCAGATGGTATATTGTCACTATTAACCCAAAATATATAGAAATTGATAACCGTCATTACTCATTTGCTAATCTATCACCTGTTTGACAACTAATTCATATTCGTTGTTGATTTTCGTTGCTATTCGCTAGTTTATATATATATAGTTAGTTTATGTTAAAAAAGTTGTATGAGTAATAAAGCGTTTCAAATGATAATCAACTTATTAATATTAAACATTCTAAATTATGATCACAAATAATTCAGCGTTAAAATTATTAAAAATTATCCCCTTATAATCCAGGGGCAATCTGCTAATTTAAATAGAATTTTTAATCAAAAGTTACTCTATACCTTAACATATTTATGAAAATTTTACTGAATTCGTCAATGACAAGTTGTCCAATGTAACCGGCACCAAAATTGCAGGGTGGTTTGAGAAATTATTTCTAATCTAAAAATTAAACTAGAGGTACAAGAAATAGACTAAACAAAGAACAAGCATCTTATACACGACGATGTGATGTGCTGTATAAGAAAATAAGATAAGATACGTTTTAAAGAGATTGGAATAGAAGAATCAGACCCCAAGACCAGGGATGACAATTTATGGAATGCCCGACTTATTAATTCAAATTTTTTTATCCTATTTATATATATAAAAAAAATATTACATCTATTATTTATTAAAAATCACTTCATAAATTTTTACTCAGTTAATACCCAGTCATATTAGTTTATTCACTCATTTAGTATCCTTGAAAATAATTTGTAAAATATTTCAGTTTAGTCCCTATCATTTAAAAAAAAAAAAATCCTTATTTTTTTTTTCATATTTTGGCCATTTATTTGTAAGTTTTTTTATCCTCAAATTTGTTTTTTAAAAAAATATTTCGATCCTTAATTTTGAAAATTTATTCAATTAAATCTCTATATATTAAAAAAAATTAAAATAAATTAATGAGTATTAATAAAGTAAGAAGTAAAGACTTTTATATATATATATATATATATATATCTTGAGCATTTTTAATAGATATTTATTGAACCAAATACAATGAATATCCACTTTATATCCAACTCATTGTCATCCCTACTAAATCAAGTATTAGAAGCAAATGGTACATTTTATGTGAGATAATATTATCATAGGTTACTTTTAATTGCAACAAATAGATAAATAGACAACCACTTAGAACAGGTTTTCAGTACACAAACTCAAGGTTTTCAGTACACAAACTCAAAGTTTTAAACTACTAAAGTTCAGTTCTAGCAATATTATTACTCTATATTTCTCACTTAGTCATATAAGAAATTGCCACAACAGAAAAAAAATTATCAAAAACTTCGATATTGAAAAGGAATACCAACGGCCGAGAAACTCTATGCCATAAATAAATAATTAAAAAAAAAAAAAAACAGATGAATGTGAGACTATTCATTTATTGTAACTCTTCACCTAATGTCCTTATTCATATATTTCTTTATTGCTTCTTGATCTCTCTTTCTTTGTAACTCTTCACCTAATGTCCTTATTCATATATTTCTTTATTGCTTCTTGATCTCTCTTTCTTTGAGAAATAAATTAATTAGTCCCTCCGGTTTGAAAACTAATTTTTTTATCCTTTTTACCATTTTACTATTTTTTTTTTTAAGAAATAGAAAAAAAACAAAAAATAAAATAAAATATGAAAAAAGACATTTTATTTTTCCAAAGAAAATTATCTCATCCAATCAAAAATATCTTAGTATTATATAAAAAGACCATGAAACCCTATGTTGAGTTGTTTTAGTAATCCTTATTCATTCTCGGATAATTATATAAATTAATGTAGGTGAAAAAAAGAAAGGAGAAAAATAAAAATAAATGCAACGAGAGGGAGATAAAGATGATTTACGAGATAAGGAATTGGAAAGAGAGAGGTGCAAATGGATTTCAATGATTCATAAAAGTGGTAACTAGAGACTTTTTTTTTTCTCCTTTTTAAGGACCACCATGTAGAATTAAGAAAATGGTAAATTGGAATATTAAAAAACAATGACCTTAGAACAAAAAAAATAAAATATGAAAATAGATATTTTATAAAATAAAAAATAAATTATTCGTGATCAATACTAATTAAATAATTAAATAATTTATTTTTGAAACGAAAAGAATTAATTCATTCATTTTTCAAAATCGGATGAACTAATTTATAATTTAATTTGCAATTCAAGAATCACTTTCATCATAAATTAAGAATTTATGAAAACCAATTTTGTAATAATTTTTATTTTAATTTATTGACTTTAATATATTCCATATAGCTTAGATGGTTTTTTTTTAAAAAAAAATATTTATACTATATATTCTTAATCTACCGAATATGATCATAATATATATATTAAAAATTGATTATGCATTTGGATACATAGCATCAATTATTTATTATTTATTTCTTTTTATGTTCTAAAATCAATATTTTTTAAATAAAATAATTGAAATAATAATTTAGAAGAACCTTTTAATTATTCAAATATAATTTTTTATACTAATATCATTGATTATATTGTTAATAAATATATATAAATCAAATGATTTTACTCAAATAAATAAATTTAATTTATATTAATTACGAGAAAAAAATTTTATCCGTACTTTATCATATGAATCATTAAATTTATATATATAATAGTTATCTGATCGCAGCATAAATCGAATATCCATAAAGTGCTCCACTAAGTAGAGTAGGATACGTAACTTCTACCAGTTACCAGTTAACCTGTTATAAATGTCTACTACAAATCTAGAAGAATACATGTAAATGGGTCTCAGGCATGCATCTAAAGTTGGCCACAAAACTTATGAAAAATCAAGATGGGAAATAGAGATGACAACTAGATAGCAAATGAAGCATTAAGCCCACTAATGCAAGCTAACCAGAATTAATTATTTCCATAATTTTGGCATAAATCAAGAAAAAAGTACTCAAGAAATCTTTATTCACTAGTGTTAATGAAATGGGAATTGACAAAGAAAATTACATTTTGTGTTAAAAAAAAAAAAAAAAAAAAACATAAGGGAGTAACCATTTATATTCACGAATGAACTATACCCAGCACACGTTCTGAATTCAACAAAATCAAAGAATGCTGAACCAGTTGTTACAATTATCATGTAAATCTATGCAACATAGCAAATAGTAATAACAAAAATGTTACAATTCTTCCACTTAGTTGTTTAGAAGCTGACGAAAGATTTTCAGCACCAACAGAATACACTGATCCAGAATTATCATCCTTCACTTTGATACTCGAAGAGCCTAAGAGCAACCATAAAATAGTTTGAGAAAGGCCACACTTGAAAGGAAAAAATAAATAAATCCTCCCTTCTTAAAACGGAAATGAAATATTTAGACGGAAATGGGATTGATGGAACATCATTAAAGAAACAAAAAGAATTAAAAAGGCTTATGCTTGTAAAGAAAAAAAGGGTTCTATATCAATAATTGCTTTAGCATAACCCTTTTGAGTGGATAAAAAACACTAAAACTCTGTTTGTCAGGAGATTGGAGAAGGATATATGATAGAGGAGGGGTTGAGGAGGAGAGATTGGTTGTATTCTTCATTTGGCAAGAAGGATAAAGACCCAAGAAACGGTTGGAGCCAAGGAAGGAATCCTTCCTCACTCATAATTTCCAATCCTCACAATTTGGGCGATTTGGCTCCCATTATTCCCCTCCTTCATAATTTCCAATGCTATCAATTTTGATGGATTGAGTCTCATCCTTTTCCTCCCTTGTTAACCAAACAACTAGATGGATGGTAACCCATCAATCCTTTCCCCTGTTCATCCTTCCCCTTTTCCTCATCCATCTCCCCCTGTCCATCCCATCTGACAAACAGCCTAAGAAGAACATAACAAATGAGCAACATATGAACAACATAGAATGTTTTACATCTTTTCAGTTAAATTTCTCTGTCTAGATTGTATAGCTAAGCTACACCAACGAACCAGCAATCAATCTCTTTCCTCTTAATTTCTGAATCCACATTTTATTTTGCACATCTGTCTAATTTGAAGATTCTAACACAGCTATTTATCTGGATTTGGTTAGGTATTTAACCATTCCTTGAATCTATTAGTATCTATAAAAAAGAAATGCAAGGAGAAAACACTTGCTTCAAAAACATGAACAACTAAGCCTGAAAACCAAACTAGTTAGGATGCCTCCATGGATTCTTTCGCATTCAATATCAAAGGATTTTAAATTCTTCAATACCACTTCAACCCGTGCTATCTTAGTTCTACCTCTTGCCTCCTCCCTCTTCCTAACAACTTATCACTTCCAAACAGGGGCCTCTGGTGGCCTAAGCAAATATATCCCTTGGAACATGGGTTCAACACTTGAACCACAAACTAATGCCTAAAATCGAGGCACAGAGACTGCTCCACCAAAAGGCATATCCAAGTACATGAATTTCTATTTATTTATCTACTTTAATAGATCACTTGTAAATTACACAAATGAAGTATCATAAATAAAGTTCATGAAAACAAAAATGATACTTACAGTTGTACTCTGTCCATCCAATGGCCTGCTTTTCGATGTCATATAATACAAGTTTATTAGAAAGCACCAAATCTGCATTAGGAAACAATTGATAAAGTTAAAAGATAAAGAATCCAAAAGTAGAAACTTCTTTATTTCACTTTGCATTATGTAAAAATAAAAATTATTAGACCATCCATCTCTTCCAGCTCCAGAAAATTAGATTTGAGCGACTCGATCTCTTCTAGAAGACTCAGAATCTGTGCAATTGACACAAGTATGTGCAACTGCCCCAAATACCCAAAAGACATTATCAAGCGCTAGGTAACAGCAATATTGGAATTTAAAAGTGAATGTTGGGTTGCTAAGTACTAGCTAATTTCCCTTTGTAATTAATGACCATTCAGAGTCCTCAGCTAATTGTAAGGGGAGATTTTGATGGCTATATTCAGCTCCTCGGTAATTTTTTTTTTTTTTAATTACATAAGGGATATTGATTATGATTTGCATACAGGGCACAACCTGATGCATAAATGTATAAAATCATGGGATAGCAGGTTGAGTGACACACAATACACAAGCTGAGGCCATTGCACGTTGAACCAATTAAAGACCATACCTCCCAATAGAGTCATATCCCTCCCATCCTTTGATTGAATCCCACTGTTCTGCCACCCAAAACACCAAATATTTTCCTGTGGAAAGATAATGACAATAATACATTAACTCTTTGGCTGGAAAAAAATTGTTTTTATCAGATATCTAAACTGAGATTCATACAAACAAACATGTTACTTTGTGATGTCCTGAAAATAATTTTCAAGTTTTGGGTATCTAACAAAAAGATAAGGAAAACCCACAACAAATTTTAATAAGGTTTGATTGATTATTCTTTACAATGGGCAAGAAAATTTACTAAGTAAATGAAACATGCAAGTAATTGCTAGTAACATTTCACCTTCTAAAAAATTAACTAGCATTAACATTATTTGATGTTTGCTAAATATTTGACTGCTCATAAACATTATATGATTGGACCTTCATTAAGATTATTAATTAAATATAGTTCAAACACTGGTCACACACAACCTATCAGCTTATCACGAGCAATGAAATCTACAACATTAAAATATTTTCTACAAGTTGGTTGAAAGCAACATAGGTGATCATCTGCATTTGCACCAATAATTAATTCACTATCAAAACCAAGAACATAAACCAGTACTATGCAACTACAATTGTACCAATATTTTTTCTAGTTACACTCGTCTGATCAGGAAATATAATTACAACTGCATTTTACATGGTTGACTTGTCAATACAATCTATCTAAAATATGTTAAAAAAAAATTTCTTTGTTGACAACTAAAAAGAATCAGATATTTGCTAGCATTTGCCTGGTCATTCAACAGATGGGTTTATCCAAGAACGCTTAAAAAAAAAAAAAAAGGTACATTATAAATTAGTCCCTTTAGTTTTGAGAAATAAATTAATTAGTCTCATTTGTTTCAAAAACTAATTATTTAATCTTTTTTGCCTATTTTATATTCTTTTTATAATTTGTCTTGTTTAAAAAAAAAATAGAAAAAGGAATAAATAAATAAATGTTATGGAAAGATTGATGAGAAAAATATGATATTTTTTTTAAATAAAGTAAAATTAAATTACTCGTGGTGAACACTCGGTTAAGGAACTAAATAATTAGTTTTTGAAACAAGGGGACTAATTAATTTGTTTCTCAAAACTAGAGGGAATAATTTATAATTTACTCCTCAAAAAAATAATCCCTACTCTGACTTAAAAAGTAAAAAGTAAAATAAGAAAACAAAAAAGATACAATTAAATAGACAATACAAGCTTAGTAGCTAGAACTATTTTTCAATTCAAACAAAACATCCATTTCCATGACGACATTCTTCCTAAGCAATGAACTTTAAAGAAACCACCAAATAACAAAAATGAAGCATTGAACATGAAGATTCTCTTTAAGAAGTAAACCATTCTACTTACCTTAATTTCGAACAAATAGTCATGGGGATACACTGGCAAAGCAAGTGAGTCCTTGAAATGAAACTTGACGACTGGAAATCCATCATCAACACTGCAAGCCATGAAAAAATAAAATTGAGAAACTTTACACATAATTAATGAAGAGAGGTGGAATGCCACAACCAAATGCATTTAAATCAAAGCATAAAGGTTTATCGAACTATATAACAAAGGTTAACACTTAGAAAATTACTTTCTGACAGTGACCAATGAACTATATTCTGATATAACAAATTGAATTTGAATAGACATCTAAATGACTCCACGTATGGAGTTCACTAGCAAGAAGCATGTACTTTCAGTGGGTTGGGACGATAACTGGATAAACAATTACGTGATTGAACTTGGAACTTCTTCAAAATGCAATGATCATAGTTTCCATGTCAAGGATAGGCTAACAATAAGTGTTTCAAATATAAATTTCAAGAGAGTAATTGCACTTGGCAAGGTCCTTACTTTCCAGTGTACTGAAAACAGATAAATTGCTCCTCAACAGTATGTAAACTCAATCCAGGCTGCTGACTCCTAATCTAATTAACAAAAAAGACGAGAAAGAAAATCCATGTAAGTCCTAAGTGTGGTTACAAAGAAACAATAAAAGAAAGTTGAGGAATAGCATGTACCTCATTCATCAATGAATCATAAACCACCTCTGGAAGATAAACCAAAGTAGTACCACTATCTATTATTGTTCCTCTACGATCACCGGAGTCAAATACATCTGTAGGGAGCTCTAGAACTGTACCACCTACCTCAATTTCTTCCATATAAACATTGTAATGTGCCCTAAAATTATCAATGAAAGAATAATTAGAAAAAATATTTATTTATGAGATCTTATCCGAATTGAAGAAATAAAAAACCAAACCTTATAACAAGATTTACATAGAATGAAAAAGAATAATGCAATAAGTTCATTATATCAAAAAAAAAAAAAAAAAAAAAAAAAAAAAAAAGGGAAGAAAGAAGAAGCTCATAGTAAGTAATCACTTCAGTGGCATTGACAATGTGCTATGTCTTGTATCCTATAAAATCATTATAAAAGAAAATACCCAATTAAATAGACATCTGAATTGGCCTTAAATAAAACTTGTTACACTAAGTCATCTTCTTCACCACATGATGACCACAAGTGCCAACTTTTGAAATTTAAAGTGACCCATGACTCAGACAAATAATGCACGTTTTAAGTCATTGCATCATTTTCTCTTAACACTAAGAACGTTGATTCTTAAACTCATGTGAAATGTGTTTTATTATTTCCAAGATAGTGTCACCAGAATACACATTGAATGAACATCCACATTTTCCACCCTTAACAAGAAAAAAGGACACATACCACTTTTCTATTAGTCTGGTGACTTCATGAATTTTTTCTCTTATTCTTTCTCTAAGTTATGTCAAGTTTTATCCCTGCATCTTTTTTGTCTCTTCTCATCTGATTTCTCTATATGTATATAAAGTTGGAAATATCAATGGAAGGCAGATAAACTAACTACAGCATCAACATAACTGTTATATATATATATATATAAAAAAAAAAAACCTTCAAATGCTAAGATAGTGTCACATACTGATTTGGAACCATTGGAGTTGTATTCACTTTTGGTGAGACCACTTCCCCAATGGCAAAGATTCCACCTCCATTTACATTATCCAGGCAATGTGAAAAAACTTTTTAACCTTTCCAGCTGAAGCAAGCTGTGAAATCACAGATGAATTTGCTTGCCCAAACCCAAGTATTCCATCAAGTGCTTCACCTGTTGAACCTAATTCCCCAGATTGCTGAGCTCCACACCTTTTAGACAAAAGAGATTTTGTAAGTGAGAGAAGAAGCAATCAGCACTAAATATTTGGAAAAAAAAAAAAAAAACCTAACTCTTGCATAAATGATAAGAAATTTTTTTTTTTTTTTCACCTGAATAATTACACATTCAAGTAAAAAATGTTTAAAATTAGATGCACCACAGCCAAGTAATTAATGAAAACAGCTATCCAAACCAGATAACTCTAGCATGACCTCCAAGCTATAACTTTTAGCTTGTCAAATGCACCCACAAAAATTGCAAGGGTCAAGGTGCATATAGTGCATACTTTGTCCTTCCATTTCCTAAATCCATTGCATAGGCTCCAATTAAGCCATTTTTTAACAGTTGGGCATTAATAAGTGTTTCAAACATCTACAGACACAACATTTGAATTACATAGAGCACAAAATAACCAAAATATAATATGAGAAAGGCAACTGACCCAAATATAACAGTCCCATTTGATAATGCTGTTTGTTGATTTCCAGTCACGCGCTCGAACTGCAGATTGTCCTTCACAAAGTATCCAGCAGTTGAGCTTCCATCCCCATAAACAACATTGTATTGGCAGGGCAACTCTTTTTGCAACCAGGAAGTAAACCATTGTATGTGGAAGTGCAGAAATCATCACCGCAATAAACCCTTGTTGCAGATGCAGAGCTTGTTGGATCATAGAGTGTCAATTTTACCTGTCATAGAATGCAAAAGTGACAAAAAGAAAGCGTTTCTCAAAGAGAACGCCTTGCATAATTAAGAAACATATGTGGCAAATTAAAGAATGACAATACTGAACAAGTGTGACGCATATATTCACTTAGAACGAGAGAGGAAGAGAGAGTTTAAAGGGCTGAAGAAGCATACACCAAGTTCACTTTTTGTAGGACATTTGTTGCAGTCGATGCAATTCACCCATAGAATGTCGCTCCCGGTATCCACTTGGACATAATAGTCCTTTGATGGATTTCCAAGCCCAATTTTGGCGAAATAAAGGCTAAATCAATGAATGAAGTACACCATATAAGCAGCAAGAATAATAAAAGACATAAAAACCAGTACATGGGTGGGTGAGAAAATAAAAAACAGATCCAATTTTGCTAGTTTCAAAGCTACCAAAATTGTAATGCCACAGGGATAAAGAAATATATATCAATCAATCTGCACTATTCAAAATACATATATAAAAGAATCCAATTAAATCCAAAATCAAACTCCCCTCCCCCTACCCCCAAACCCCCAAAAAATAGGAAGAAAAAAAGAATCCTTTATAACATAAAACATATAAAAAAAGGAGTTAGCTTAATTTCGGATCTAAAACACGCTACTACAAACACAAAACATAAGTACATAGCAAACTAACCTCCATTAACAATTACTAATATCAATCACGAGCAAATTACAATCATAACAACAAACTCATTAGAAAGCAAGCTGGAAGTTGATGATACAAAGGTAGAAACAAACCCAGTTTCAGAAGGATGGCCATTTCCGCCTATAGGGAGGTCAATGGAGGAGAGAAGGCGGCTATGACGGCGAGCATCATGGGCTTTAAATTCAGTAAGGTTGCGTATACGGCCAGCAAATTTATGTTGGAGCTTAAGAACCATGTTTCCTAATGAGAAAGAAGCAAAATCCAATTGAACCACCACCACCACCATTAAAAACGCTACCAATCTCCTTAGATCCATCATCAACGTCACCACCACCTTCCAGAATAAATAAATAAATAAATAAAGATTAGACTGCCTTTTTATTTATTTATGTTCTGTTTGTTATTTCTGTTAAGAGAATGAACGTCGTTAAAATAGTTTTGTGGTGGTGTTGTTCGTGAGTTTGCTTCTGTCTTTGGTTGTTGTTTTCGTTGAGGATGCTTGTGAGAGAGAGAGAGAGAGAGAGAGAATTGAAAGTGCAGAGAAAGAGAGGAAAAAAGGAAGAAGCGGAGGAGAAAAAGCGCGTTTCAATGGCAAATGACACGTATTAATACCACTGTGTAATGTGCAACCTGTTTGTATAAATTTAACAGAATACGTAATTTATAGTAACTACTTTCTGTCTTCACCTTTTGTTTTTTCTACCACTAACGGACTAAATTGTAGTTTTGTCCCTTAATATTTCCGTCAAACAAATAATAAATCCTTTTTAATTCAGAATTAATTAATTAATCAACCCTTTGATTTCACCGTAAAAAAAAAAAAAAGAACCGAAGTGTTTAATATTTGTATACTCGTTATAAAATAAATAGAACTAATTGGAGAATTAAAGAAAAGAATGACAAGAAAATAAAATCATTACAATATGAATATAAGTGATAAGAACTTCAAAGTTTCTCTTATTCTCTCTATGAAACTTTTACACCAACTAATGAACAATCAAGCCTATTTATAGGCTTCAAAATTGAGGAGAGAATTAGAAAGGACTATGAATAATCAATTGCATCACCCTTTCAATTTCTCATATTGAATGATGAATTGAATTATATTAAGAATCATGAGTAGTGGGGATATGAAAAGTGAATGAAATGATGATGGACATTCATTATTTCATAACACTCCTCCTTGAATGTCCATTATACAAGGAACATACCTCGTTAAAACCTTACTAGTAAAAAACCTAGTGGGAAATAAATCCCAATGAAGAAAAAAGAGTATAATATTCCTTGCACACATTAATCTCCATTTTGGTCTCTCCCCGTTGAAGGCATTATTTAAGATCTCTAAGACGATACATTCTAATCTTGTAAATCATCTTCTCAAAAGTTGTGGTAAGTAATGCTTTAAAGAATATATCCGTTGGATTGTCACTTTGATGTATTCTTCCTTCAATGGAATTATGCAAACGAGTATTATCCTTATATGATATTATTGGAACTTCTTTTGTTGGTAGATAAACCGCATGTCTCTCGGATACAATGGATCGTTTATCTTAGCCAAACACATTATCGACTTGCCTTGTGAATTGATATTTACGCATGATTTGAAAATCGACGGATATAGTTTATTTTATAGAACGCAAAGATATAGTTGGATCTCCGTATATAAATATATAACCGGTTGTGATCGAGCTTTGTATAGATCGGATAAATAACCTACATCCGCATAACCAATTAATCTTGTCTTTGATTTATTGGAGTAATATAAGCCCATATCAATTATTCCTCGAAGATAACGTAGTATATATTTAACTTTATTTCAATATCTTCGTATTGAAACAAAACTATGACTTGCTAATAAATTTATAAAAAAGACTATATCGAGTTGAGTATTATTAGCAAGATATATCAATGCATAAGTGGCACTAAGACATGGTACTTCGGGACCAAGTAGTTCTTCATTGTCTTCTTAAGGTCGACAATGATCTTTTTAGATATCAAGTGAATGATCTTTATATAGAATCATTGTTGAACTTTTTTCTATATAAATTGACTGATGAATAAAAATCTCTTCCTCTAAGTGCTCGAACTGCAGGTCAAGATAACATTTTGTTTTTTCAATGTATTCATATCAAATTCTCCTTTTAAATAACTTATGACACTTGGAATCTCTTTAGGAGTTCCAATAATATTTAAGTTATCAACATATACTACAAACCCCTTTTCAAATAAAAACATATGAACAAATAAAGTTATTTTTTATAACCTTCTTTCAACAAATAATAATTGAAATGATTATATCACATGCACACGACTTAGTAATAAACAGTAGATATAAAAATAAAATATAAACAAGTATAAATTAAATTTCAAAAAACTAAAATAAAACAAATACTAAAATAATCCTAATAGAGATCTCTATAATTTAATTGAATTTTTATCTCGAGAATATATATTACATGCTTCGGCATGTTAAGTCCTTCTAGGACTTTCATACCGATTCATCCGAAATGAACAAATAAATTATGATCACATTCATTAAATGCATGCATATGAATGTTTTTCATACATTTTTTCGAGCTAATGAGATAAAAAAGACAATTGCATCCATTATAGGAGAATATGTCTCCTCATAGTTAATGTCGGTTCTTTATGAAAACTTTTACGTTAAAAGTTTTACTTTATATCTTATAATCTCATTTTTCTTATTTCATTTTCGCATAAATACATATTTGTATTCCACTAGCTTAACATCTTCGGGTGTTTTAGCTATGGTTTCAAACAATTACTCTTTTATAAGAGAACACAATTATGCCTAGATTGCTCTTTTCATTTAGGCCAATCATCCTTATGTTGATATTCTTCAATAATTTAGGCTCGGGATCCTTATTTTCATTCAAAATATCAATTGTAACTTTACATATAAAAATCTTATCAATAAATATTTCTCTTCGATCCTATTTTCTCCCTCTATTAACATAATTTATCAAAATCTCTTGATTTTTCTTAAGCATTTGGACTTCTTCTGGAAGCTTATTATCGAAATATCTTATACCGTTTTATGAATATTTACATCCTTTATATTTTCATCTTGTCGTTTTCGTTTAGGGATTTTATCTTTAGAACCAATCGATCTTCCACGCTTCGGGCGTGCTTTAGCTTCATTAACTATAACATTAATAGACTCGTCATTTTAGGACATTAATTCTAATAGGAGCATTCTTAGCAGGGACATGCATTTTAGTTATTCATTTAAGATTTGAGAATGCATCTAGCAATTGGTTTCAATACCTAGTAAATGAATTATCTTTTGAACTTCTAGTTCACATTATCTTCGATAATAATCAAGGTGATATAAGATAGAGTACTCCATGTAATCTTTTTTTTTTCAACATTTTCAATCGCTTATTTTACTTATTCTCTCCCTCTAATGTTGAAAAAACTATTTCATCAAAATGACAATCGATAAATCGAGTCGTAAAAATTTTCTTTTGTTCATGAATCAAGAGATTGAATTATCGAAGAGGATTCATATATTCTCAATCTCTTTTAAGTGCCCATTTTATTTCATTATAAAGGAGCACTAAGGAAATACACTGCAATGTTAAAAATTCTTAAATAAGAAATAATTGGCTCATGACCATAAATCAATTAAAGAGGAGAGAATTTTTGATAACTTATGGGTCATATGCAAATAAGTATTGATGCATGTAAGATTGCATGTCCCCAAACATAAACAAAGAGTTTTATTTTTAAATAATGGTTTAGCTATCAATTGGAGCCTTTTGATAAATGATTTTGCTAAACCTTTTTTAGTATGAACATGAGCAATAGGATGTTCAACCTTTATTTTAATAGCCAATCAATAATAATTTAATGCTTGAGAAATAAATTCATCGAGCATTATTAAGGTGATCGGTTTTAATAAGCATAATTTGAAAATTATACTCGAAATCAAATTATTTGCTAGCAATCTCGAAAACATCGGGTTTCGAGTAGATAATAAACATATATATGACCATCTTGTGAATGCATTTATTAAAATCATAAAATATTTAAATGGTCCAAATGGCGGATGAATTGATCCATATATATCACCTTGAATACATTCTAAAATACCGAAGATTTAATCTCAATTTTACTTGATGATGGCTTAATCATCAATTTGCCTTGGCAACATACGTGAACATGAAAGTTCATTAAATTGAAGAATCTTCTAGCTTTTTAATAGATATTCATATAATTTTTTTTAATAACTTTTTGCATCATGAAAGACCAAGATAACACAACTAGTCATGTCACATAGTAAAAGTATTTGAATTATTAAACTTCCGGTTTACTATAATATATTTTGTTTTCAAGCATTCTAATGTTGGTAATAAAGAATAGAGGAGAAAGCGAATAATTTCTCCAATACATGCTTTCTATTTGATGTAATTATAATATTTAAGAATTCAATTTTTGCATTTGTTGTCTTGATATAAGGTCCATTTAGATAAATATCTTTGAAACTCAACAAATTTCTATGAGACTTTGAAGAGAATAGTACATCATTCATAATAAATTTATCCTTTCAAATAATAATATATTTGCTCTTCTAGAGCCTTTAAATTAGTCACTTCAAGTAATAATATATTGACTCTTCTAGAGCCTTTAAACATTTTCTCTTCGAGTAATAATTTATTCACTCTTCTAGAGCTTCAAAAATTTATCTCTTCAAGTCATGATATAATCGCTCTTCTAGAGCCTTCAAAATCTATCTATTTAGATAATAATATAGTCGCTCTTCTAGAGTTTTCTATTAGATTGATATTATCATATATAATATTAACATAAAATAAATAATCAAATAAATTAATACAAAATAAATTAATTAATATATTCCTCATAAACACAAACAAATAAATAAATAGTCAAATAAATTTATAACCATCAATATACGACATAAATTATAAGAAATATAAAATATTTTATTTATAAATAGACAAAAATAACAAGTAAATAATTTCAATTACTATTACTTTGATATATAAAAGTAGTCTTCATATTTTACTCTTTATTTTTCAATAAGGCTTGACAAGCCTCAATGAGGTGCTTTGGTATACGACAGGTATACGATCAATATTCATTCATTTCACATCTATAATATTTATTTTTCAGAATACTAACTTTATCTATTTTTATTTCTTTTTTTCATAGTTATCCACTTCGGTGGTGAGATGTAATATTATGGTCATT